AGGAATAACACAGACTATTGGCAGTGTTTAGTCAGTCTAATGCACGGGGATACCTGACCTTACTGACTAACTTGACTGACCGACTGACTGATATATGTGTTACGGGTGTGAGGTATTTCCATTGTATTTACTGCGATAAATTTGATTTTTCTACTCGATTAATAAATACATCGATTCACTATACACTTCACTCTACATTCTACACAGCAGGTATTGTAGTTCACTGTAGACTAGATTGGTTTACTGTAGTAGGTATTGTAGTTCACTCTAGATTGGTACACTGTAGTAGTAGATATTGTAGCTCAATTTACGTTCACTAGAGAAAAGATTCACTCTAATTCAGCCATGGCGATTCAGACATCAACATCACAAGCGGTTAAAAATGAGAGAGAGAGAGAATTTTCAACAAGGCACGTAGTTTAGAGAGAGATATTCACAAGAGCGTTGGTTCACTCTCCCGTAAGTACAGACGCGAGAACTATACTACCAGCCTCTGGACCTGACAGAGGGCAACTCTCCACCCGTCGGCCCACTCAACTTTCACTCTCGCCAAGCACCGCCGCCTCCTCCTCCACCCATATCTCCAGCATCGCCTCCTCCTCCTCCACCCATATCTCCCGCCTCCTCCTCCTCCCTCCATCTCCAGCATCGCCTCCTCCTCCACCCATATCTCCAGCACCGCCTCCTCCTCCACCCATCTCCACACCGCCCCCTCTCCAGCACCACCTCCTCCTCCACCCATATCACCCACCTCCTCCACCCAATCTGCTGCCTCTTTCTCCACCCATATCCCACTCCTCTTTTCTCCACCCATATCACCAGCACCACTTCCTCCTCCTCTTCCTCCACCCATATCTCCAGCACCTCCTCCTCCACCCATATCTCCAGCATCGTCTCCTCCTCCTCCACCCATATCTCCAGCATCGCCTCCTCCTCCACCCACATCTCAGCACCGCCTCCTCCTCCACCCATCATCTCCAGCACCGCCTTCTCCTCCACCCACATCTCAGCACCTTCTCTTCCACCCATATCTCCAGCACCGCCTCCTCCTCCACCCATCTCCTCCCCTTCTCCTCCACCATCATCTCCAGCACCGCCTTCTCCTCCACCCATATCTCTCCATCTCCAGCACCGCCTTCTCCTCCACCCATATCTCCAGCCTCCTCCACCGCCTCCTCCTCCACCCATCACCTCCACCGCCTTCTCCTCCCACCCATCTCCAGCACCTTCTCCTCCACCCATATCTCCAGCACTGCCTCCTCCTCCACCCATCCTCCTCACACCTTCTCCTCCACCCATATCTCCAGCACCTTCTCCTCCTATCTCCCAGCACCGCCTCCCTCCACCCATATCTCCAGCATCGCCTCCTCACCCTTATCTCCAGCATCGCCTCCTCCTCCACCCATCATCTCCAGCACCGCCTCCTCCTCCACCCATATCTCCACCCCTCCTCCTCCACCCATCATCTCCCACCGCCTCCTCCTCCACCCATCATCTCCCAGCACCGCCTCCTCCTCCACCCACATCTCCCTTCCTGCCTCCTCCTCCACCCATATCTCCCTTCCCGCCTCCTCCTCCCATCATCTCCAGCACCGCCTCCTCCTCCACCCATATCTCCAGCACCGCCTTCTCCTCCACCCATATCTCCAGCCTCCTCCTCCCAGCACCCCTCCTCCACCCATTATCTCCAGCACCGCCTCCTCCACCCACCCAGCATCCTCCCACTCCTCCTCCCCCACCATCTCCTATCTCACCCGCCTCCTTCACCCACCCATATCTCCAGCATCACCCTCTCTCCCCACCCATATCTCCAGCACCGCCTCCTTTCACCCATATCTCCAGCCTCCTTCTCCTCCACCACAACCCACACCCTCGTCCACCCCAACAAGAAGACAGCCCATCAATCACCATATACCAGAACACATAACACATGATCCCCCGTATTCCCGTGTAAGACGTAACCCCAAATTGACGATATACCAACACGAGCACACGGCACTTACACATCGATGACCCAGGTATCACATAAAACGGATTGCTATTCGCGTATACGGTGACGCCCGAATTAGCCACACGGATAAACATGGAATCGCCCCGTCCATCACCAGCTATCAAACGGTAGATCGTGTTCGCGTGCACCGAGACACTCAATCAGGTGAATAAACCCAGCGTGGAGTTTTTCCTTCGATCTGAGATGTTTTAAATAAATTACACCGGACTGCAGAAATATATTCACTCTTATACCATCGACTGAATGTTGAGTATGAACTGATTTTTAATAATGGAAGCCCCTCGAAATCGAGGATGGCCGGCCCAAGGGCCATCTAGGCGTGAATTTGTTAAGGTATAGAAGCTGTCGCCAACACAACAACCACACCCTAAGTTAACGAGCTGCATGACCCAGTCTCAAGTAATAGTCCGAGAAGACTGGACAGCTCGCCAACTGCACTGGCTAACCATTACCAGAATACGATCCACAAATCGATTAACATCCAGGTTCACAATTACTGCTGGGTAGACAGAGGCAAATGGCGTAAAGAAACTTGCCCATAGTTTCGCCCTGCCCTAAGATCGAACTCGGGTTTGCTCGCTTGCGAGGCGAGGATGCTGACCATTACATACATACATGAACACAATATGAACAGTTTTCCCCCACTCATTAGAATTAAACTTGAACACATGAATACAAACCCAGTCCCTTGAACTGAACTTGGAAAGGCTTATCCCCAGTCACCATTAACACTCGGCCTATACCACTCAAGGTCATCCACTCCATCAACAGGTGATCCCACTCCCATCAACAGGTGACCCCACTCCCTCAACAGGTCATCCCACTCCCTCAACAGGTCATCCCACTCCCTCAACAGGTCATCCCACTCCCAACAACAGGTGACCCCACTCCCAACAACAGGTGACCCCACTGCCATCAACAGGTCACCCCACTCACCTCTTTTCAGCACATGGGGCGAAAGACTGGCCCAGGTGCTGAAGTCGCTTTCACCAATCGCCTGCAGTACCTCTTCCTGCCCACAGCTGAAGATGGCTGCCCCTTCCTGGCTATCACCCACCTGAAGTACATGGTTGATGGTTAGTACTGACAGCCACGCCCTTAGTCTGGTTACATTTTGTATATTTTAAACAGAGGAGAGGAGAGGTGGAGAGGAGGGGAAGGGGTAAGAGAGGAGATGCATAATTTCACCATAGAAGGTACACAAGACCAAGTTAATCACCAGTTACTTACCCCATATGGAAGGGAATGCAGCCCAGGATCACACACGTCGTCAGGAGCCCCCGGGCAACAGGCGTCGTAAGCATCAAGATCAAGCAGGTCTTCAGTCACCCCAACACTCACAATGACCTTCTCTGACGACGACGAGGGAGAATTCAGACGACCGTGTGAAGAGCTTACCGCAGGAGTAACATTTGAATTCTTCGTTATTTCTATCTGGTCTTTAGTCTGTAGTTCCTTTGTGGCATCTCCTGTTTCCTTTGCCACTCGTAATTCTTGTGTCGCCTGTATACCAGTGTTGTCATCACCTGTTGAGCTGTGTTTTAAACGGTCAACCACGGTCATATCGTAAGGTCGACTTGCCTCCGTTGATGATCCCGCCGAATCATCATCCAGTGAAGCTGTACTTGAACAACTACTCTCATCGTCTTTACCTCTCGGGTATTCTCCCCCGAAAAGCCAACACAGTTCTCGTATAATATCTCCAGCAGAGTCAGACTCTTCTTCTGGGCTTTCGGACCCTCGAGAAATAACACCCAAGAACTGGTCCTCCTCATCATTTACTATAGATATGGACTCACGATCAGGACTATCTAGATGTAAGTCACTTTCCTCTCTGTTGATGACAGTACTTGTTGTACCATCACTAGTTCCTCCTGTTTGTATCTCGTGCCCTGCTGTGCGGGATCCTTCTGTGCTACTGCACATTTCCTGGTTAGTAGTAGCGGCAGGCTGGTGTGTTCCTTGGTTAACAGTAGCGGCAGGGTGGTGTGTTCCTTGGCTAGTAGTAGCGGCAGGCTGGTGTGTTCCTTGGCAAACAGTAGTGGCAGGCTGGTGTGTTTCTTGGCTAGTAATAGCAGCAGGCTGGTGTGTTCCTTGGTTAACAGTAGCGGCAGGCTGGCGTGATCCTTGGTTAACAGTAGTGGCAGGCTGGTGTGTTTCTTGGCTAGTAATAGCGGCAGGCTGGTGTGTTCCTTGGCCAACAGTAGTGGCAAGCTGGTGTGTTCCTTTGTCAACAGTAGTGACAAGCTGGTGTGTTCCTTGGTTAACAGTAGTGGCAAGCTGGTGTGTTCCTTGGTCAACAGTAGTGGCAAGCTGGTGTGTTCCTTTGTCAACAGTAAGTGGCAAGCTGGTGTGTTCCTTGGCCAACAGTAGTGGCTGGTGTATTCCTTGGTCAACAGTAGTGTTGGTGTGTTCTCCAACAGTAGTGGCAAGCTGGTGTGTTCCTTGGCCAACAGTAGTGGCAGACTGGTGTGTTCCTTGGTCAACAGTAGCGGCAGGCTGGTGTGTTCCTTGGTAACAGTAGTGGCAGGTTGGAGTGTTCCTTGGGTAACAGTAGTGGCAGGCTGGAGTGTTCCTTGGGTAACAGTAGTGGCAGGCTGGAGTGTTCCTTGGGTAACAGTAGTGGCAGGCTGGAGTGTTCCTTGGGTAACAGTAGTGGCAGGCTGGAGTGTTCCTTGGGTAACAGTGCAGGCTGGAGTGTTCCTTGGGTAACAGTAGTGGCAGGCTGGAGTGTTTCCTTGGGTAACAGTAGTGGCAGGCTGCCTCCTGCCTCCTCTGTGGTCACTGCTCCTCTGTGGCCTCCGACTCCTCCTCTGTGGCCTCATGTGGCCTCCTGCCCTCTGTGGTCACTGCCTCCTCTGTGGCCTCCTCTCTGACTCCTCCTCTGTGGCCTCCGCTCCTCTGTGGTCACTGCCTCCTCTGTGGTCACTGCCTCCTCTGGTGGGCCTCTGGTGGTCACTGCCTCCTCCTGTGGTCTCCTCCTCTGTGGTCACTGCCTCTCTGTGGCCTCCGCTCTCTGTCCACTGTGGTCACTCTCCTCTGTGGCCTCCGGCTCCTCTTCAGTCTCTGTGGTCACTGCCTCCTCTGTGGCCTCTCCGGCCTCCTGCTCCTGGCTCCTCTGTGGCCTCCGGCCTCCTCTGTGTCACTGCCTCCTCTGTGGTCTGCTCCTCTGTCACTGCCTCCTCTGTGGTCCTGCCTCCTCTGTAGTCACTGCCTCCTCTCCTGGCTCCTCCTCCGCTCCTCCTGTGGTCACTGCTCTCCCTCCAGCTCCTCTGTGGCCTCCGGCCCTCTGTGGTCACTGCCTCCTCCTGTGCCTCCGGCTCCTCTGTAGGGCCTCCGGCTCCTCTGTGGTCACTGCCTCCTCTGTGGTCCTCTGTGGCCTCCGGCTCCTCTGTGTCACTGCCTCCTCCAGTCTCTGTGAGCTCCTCTGTGGCCTCCCTGGCTCCTCTCTGTGGCCTCCGCCCTCCTCCTCACTCCCTCTGTGCCTCCTCTGTGGTCACTGCCTCCTCCACTGCCTCCTGCCTCCTCTGTGGTCACTGCCTCCTCTGTGGCCTCCCCCCTCCTCCTGCTCTGTGGTCACTGCCTCCTCTGTGGCCTCCGCTCCTCTGTGGCCTCCGGCCTCCTGTGGTCACTGCCTCCTCTGTCTGCCTCTCAGGCTCCTCTCTGTGGCCTCCGGCTCCCCTGTGATCACTGCCTCCTCTGTGTCACTGCCTCCTCTGGTCGCTTCCTTCCTCTGTGGCCTCCGGCTCCTCTGTGTCAATGCCTCCTCCGGCCCTCTGTGGTCACTGCCTCCTCCGGCTCCCTCTGCCACTGCCTCCGGCTCCTCTGTGGTCACTGCCTCCGTAGTCACTGCCTCCTCTGTGGTCACTGCCTCCTCTGTGGTCTCCGGCTCCTCTGTGATCACTGCCTCCGGCTCCTCTGTGGTCACTGCCTCCTCTGTGGCCTCCGGCTCCTCTGTGGTCACTGCCTCTCTGTGCCTCCGGCTCTCTGTGATCACTACTGCCTCCCTCTGTGGCCTCCAGCTCCTGTGGTCACTTCCTCCTCTGTGGCCTCCTCTCTGTGGTCACTGCCTCCAGCTCCTCTGTAGGTCACTGCCTCCCTCTGTGGCATCCTGCTCCTCTGTGGTCACTGCCTCCAGCTCCTCTGTGGTCACTGCCTCCAGCTCCTCTGGTCACTGCTCTCCTCTGGCATCCTGCTCCTCTGTGGTCACTGCCTCCAGCTCCTCTGTGGTCACTGCCTCCTCTGTGGCCTCCAGCTCCTCCCTGTCCTCACTTCTCCTCTCTGTGGCATCCTGCTCCTCTGTGGTCACTGCCTCCCCTGAGGTCACTGGCTCTTCAGTGGCCTCCGGCTCCTCTGTGGTCACTGCCTCCTCTGTAGCCTCCGGCTCCTCTGTGGTCACTGCCTCCTTTGTGGTCACTGCCTCCTCTGTAACCTCCGGCTCCTCTGTGGTCACTGCCTCCTCTGTGGTTACTGCCTCCTCTGTGGCCTCCGGCTCCTCTGTGGTCACTGGCTCCTGTGGGGCCACTGCCTTTCTCACTTGTAATTCTGTTGTTACTTGAGTATCGCAGAATAGTTGTGAGCTTTCTTCAGTAGATGGCAAGTTTGTTGAGCTGTGTTTTAAACGGTCAACCACGGTCATATCGTAAGGTCGACTTGCCTCCGTTGATGATCCCGCCGAATCATCATCCAGTGATGCTGTACTTGAACAACTACTCTCATCGTCTTTACCTCTCGGGTATTCTCGCCCGAAAAGCCAACACAGTTCTCGTATAATATCTCCAGCAGAGTCAGACTCTTCTTCTGGGCTTTCGGACCCTCGAGAAATAACACCCAAGAACTGGTCCTCCTCATCATTTACTATAGATATGGACTCACGATCAGGACTATCTAGATGTAAGTCACTTTCCTCTCTGTTGATGACAGTACTTGTTGTACCATCACTAGTTCCTCCTGTTTGTATCTCGTGCCCTGCTGTGCGGGATCCTTCTGTGCTACTGCACATTTCCTGGTTAGTAGTAGCGGCAGGCTGGTGTGTTCCTTGGTTAACAGTAGCGGCAGGGTGGTGTGTTCCTTGGCTAGTAGTAGCGGCAGGCTGGTGTGTTCCTTGGCAAACAGTGGCAGGCTGGTGTGTTTCTTGGCTAGTAATAGCAGCAGGCTGGTGTGTTCTAACAGTAGCAGCAGGCTGGTGTGTTAGTTAAGGCTGGCGTGATCCTTGGTTAACAGTAGTGACAGGCTGGTGTGTTCCTTGGTTAACAGTAGCGGCAGGCTGGTGTGTTCCTTGGCTACTAGTAGCGACAGGCTGGTGTGTTCCTTGGTTAACAGTAGTGGCAGGCTGGTGTGTTTCTTGGCTAATAATAGCGGCAGGCTGGTGTGTTCCTTGGCCAACAGTAGTGGCAAGCTGGTGTGTGTCAACTTGTCAACAGTAGTGGCAAGCTGGTGTGTTCCTTGTGTTCAGCTGGTGTTTGTCAACAGTAGTGGCAAGCTGGTGTGTTCCTTGGCCAACAGTAGTGGCAAGCTGGTGTGTTCCTTGGTCAACAGTAGTGGCAAGCTGGTGTGTTCCTTGGTCAACAGTAGTGGCAAGCTGGTGTGTTCAGGTCAACAGTAGTGGCAAGCTGGTGTGTTCCTTTGTCAACAGTAGTGGCAAGCTGGTGTGTTCCTTGGCCAACAGTAGTGGCAGGCTGGTGTGTTTCTTGGCTAGTAATAGCGGCAGGCTGGTGTGTTCCTTGGCCAACAGTAGTGGCAAGCTGGTGTGTTCCTTTGTCAATAGTAGTGGCAAGCTGGTGTGTTCCTTGGTTAACAGTAGTGGCAAGCTGGTGTGTTCCTTGGTTAACAGTAGTGGCAAGCTGGTGTGTTCCTTTGTCAACAGTAGTGGCAAGCTGGTGTGTTCCTTGGTTAACAGTAGTGGCAAGCTGGTGTGTTCCTTGGCCAACAGTTGTGGCAAGCTGGTGTGTTCCTTTGTCAACAGTAGTGGCAAGCTGGTGTGTTCCTTGGCCAACAGTTGTGGCAAGCTGGTGTGTTCCTTGGCCAACAGTTGTGGCAAGCTGGTGTGTTCCTTGGCTGTGTGGTGTAGTGGGTTGTACACTCTCCCGGCCTAACGTGAGTATCTTTAGTTGTTGACCTTCAAAGGATGGGGTGGAGTCACTACCAAGCCAAGTGGAGTCACTTAGAATAACTTTACTCTCCTCTCGATGTGAGTATGACCCATCATTTTCACTTTGTGTATTATAAATAAAATTGTTATAACCGCTACCTTCTGTGCATGATGACGAGTCGTACGTGGGTTCTAGTCCTTTCTTTTCCTGGTCCCAGTTGTAACTTTCTATCCAGCTTTCTTCTACATTGACTAAAAGGCTTTCATCTTGGGATAAATTTAGTTTTCTCTTTAACTCACGTTTATCCTGATCGAGGAAGACATGTGGCACCTGGTCGTCATCTGGATTAGTTATACCCGTGTAATCCAGAACGCTATCATTAATATCCTCTAGGAGTGTGTCGTGTGAAGGAGAACTGTTTGTGCAACACTCAATAGGAACGTCTCTATCATAAACAGCGCTCTTCTTTATTTGATTATCGTCAGCGAAGGGCCTGTTAATAACTCGAACTTTGTTACATATGCAATTGCAACACATGTTACAGAATACAAGCGTACTGTTTCCACAATCCTGCCTACCACAGTAAAATGACTCGGACTTTTCCACCAAAGGTGACTTGTGTTCATCAGTCTTGTGCTCATCTTCAACATTACACGCTAAAATGTCAGTCTCTGAAACCGCTCCTCTCTCGCCATCCTCAGAGTCTGTAGCGTCAGTGTAATTTAGTATACTATCGCTAATATCTTCTAACAGGGTGAAACTATTATCGAGTGAACTGTCATTGATATCTCCAACAAGAGTGAAATTGTCATTGAGAACACTATCACCAATATCTTCTAAAAGAGTAAAATTATTACCAAGACCTTCGTCACCGAGTCTCGAATTCTGAGATGCAGTGTACATCGGTAAGGATGCTTGGCCCGCCTCTTGTTGTAAAGGTTTATTCCTCCACACTTCTGAAGTTTCACTGTCAGGGATCGAAAGCTGGGTGTCTTTAACGGGTACCAACGAGTACTCGTGAAGAATGCTGTCGTGGACGTCTACTGATGATGACTTATCCGAAAAAGTGGCACCTTCAAATTCACCTCTTTGCCTAGGAACACTGCCTACACTCATATCCACATCAGTCTGAACAGTTATTGTACAGCCTAGCTGTGAATCACCGGGAGTGTTGTCCATGCTACCAATGTGACCCTCTGTGGAAAAGTCTTCCCCTTCACCTTTCAAGCTACTGGTGTCTTCTACTTTAAATGAATCATTACTGCTAGGGGTAACCAGGAAAGTGCTAGAAATGGTACCTGGATACACGTTATCCAACCTAGAGTAAGTCGATAAAAAATCTATTTGACGAACTGTGTCATCGGTGAAGTCCGGTTGAGCCGAATCAGTTTGGTTTAATATTGTGGACGTCTGAACTGCCTCATCTTGGAAAGTAAAATCAGCAGACTGGTGTTCGACTGCAAATGTTGCATTATGAAATAGATTATGAAACTGAGTACCTGCATGATAATCATTGCAAGGTGTACTTGATACCAAGGGAAAGGTTTGATTCAATGCAAGATCAGAATCGCTATGACAGGTGGCATCTTCTTGTCCTGGTGCCTGGTAAGAGTCTTTATCAGTAGAAGTCAACTGGTCGTCAGAAGTGTGGAATCCAACCGGGACAGTCTCCCTCCAGCTTGAAGTATCATCCATCCTCGGCTCCTCTGCTGAATGAAGAAATTCTGAGTGATAAATATGAAAGATAAAACGTACAGGAATGAAGAAAAATAAATAAATAAATAAATAAATATATATATATATATATATATATATATATATATATATATATATATATATATATATATATATATATAAAATAATAATAATAAAATAAAATCAAATAAATACAAACTAAAACGCTTCAAAATCTATCATCTCATCTCGGACGCAAAGGCTACCCAGAAACCTACAAAACAAGAGGACGGAAAAGCAGACAGACAAACTAATTGCAAATCAAAACACATCCCCTCCTGCACACACATTGAATGTCTAAAATTGTACAGCCCGAATCAAGGGCAAGTTGCAGTAATGGGTAAATGTAGCTACTCATGTTGCCTTAATCCTTCTTCCACAACAGTACACCTTACTCAGCTTATTCCATATTGCTGAATACTATCTGCACAGCCTAGTTGAGGAATACCGCCCATAGCCTAGCCTCACCTGTAGGTTGTATACATACTGACACCTGTTGGATATTCGTAGCCTAGTCTATGTGTTCTCAAACGGTAGGTATTTACTCCCAGATGGGTAATTTGGAATATCCAGGCCAAAAGCCTTCGTGAAAAAGAAACTCAATTTGATTAAAGAAATCTCACTTCCATTGTAACGACCACGGTCGTACACGTCGTTGTAGTGGCAGACTATTTTTTATGGCTATCAATTAAACTGCGTTGTTATATGTACGATAATCAACGTACAAATACTGGGTGATGGCGGGTGTGTAAAATTGTAAATGATCTACGTACTTATGTTATCCAGCATCTACACTGCATAAGCTTTCTCGATGGCGAATATCAAGGCATACAGATTCATGTATTAAGAGAATTAATAAAAAAATATATATAACTCGACATAATTAAGCATATAACATTCAATCTCTCTATATAAACTTTTCTGACTGACTGCAGCGGGGCGGCTCATCGGTCACGCATTAGTTCATGGTCATTAGTCAAAACCTCTAAAGCTAGGATTCCATTCACGGGTTTGCACTGCGTTTGCGTTTTCAATCGCTAAAGGGAACCATTGGCATGCACGCTAACGCGTGAATGGAATCCTAGCTTTAGATGTAAACTTTACAATACACGAGGTTCAACATTGCTACCACAACCTACCAAATAAAATTTCCCATTCTGTGAAGAGAAAAAAATTATAAAACGAAAACAGTGGTTTCTAAAATAATAATTGAGTCATTTTGTCTTTCAATTCCCTCGGGAATTGACGTCTTCCCACACGCAAATGAAAGCTTTAAATTCAAAATGCAGTCATGCGCGAAGGATTTATGGCAACGTGTACTCAGGACAAGTCATTACCCCAAGTCAATTTATACCCACCTGAGACAACTTGCACCCACTTTAATGATGACCCGTACCCACTATATTGACAGTTGCTCGTCCTTACTATTAATATTATTACAGTATTATACAGCGCATCTGTATGTGTATCGTTGTGTTCGTGTACGTGCATATGTCTACACTCCCTACAAGTATCACAATGTCCTGGGTCAGGTGTGGGTAGTTGTTGTTAAAATGTTATTACTTCGCTTCAACAACAAATGTCTTAAAGCGCCTAACAAGGTTAGTACAGGTAATTACAGTATTCTTATAACACTAAAAATTACGAGACAAAATTCTATGTGGGTAGACCTCTTCTATTGACCATGGTTGAGATACGTCACTGTCCGCACCGGGAGTTTCCAAATTCGTTAACTACATTTGAATAAAAGGAAAAAATTCGTTTTATCCCTATTGGGATATAAACGAATAATAACCGGGCGACTTAAACTAACCTAACTAAAAAAGAATCCTGGTGATAACGGTAAAAATTCAGAAAAACCTATTGGAATAAAAACGATTAACCGAATATACAGGTATGCCCAGTGGGAAAATAGTGGAAAATCAAGTGTAATGGCAAATCCCTTAAAATAAGACTCATTAATAATACTAATACTACTAACAATAATACCGGTAGCGGTAATGCAATAATAAACGGGGTCTGATTGTTTCATAACTTACAACAGGCGAAACGAATCAACCAATCAGAACACGAACTAAAACAATGTACAATCAACATGATAAAGAGCGGTAACAATAAGGCGCGGGATACAGGTACGGCAGCTCAATGCGTGGTGGGCAGACTTTACAATGATAGT